AAATCAGTTGGACCGGACTTTAAACAGACTTTACTCGCTTGGTGCAAACTCCATGTTACGTACGGCTGAGCCCATGTGTACGCAGAGAAGGTCATTGTTCGGAGAATTCACAGCGAGAGAATGGGCGTGTGGAAGGAAGAAGAAGAAGAAGAAGAAGAAGAAGAAGAAGACGGGTCACTTACACGGATGCGGCAAGAAAAATGTCGAACTAGGGAGACAATGAGATTTGGGAACTTGTCTTGATAAGGACCAAAACCAAAATCCTCTGACATGCTTAAGGAACGGCAAGGGACTGTCGTTTATGACCAAATTACAAACCAGCTACATGACCACAGTGTAATCTGCGACGTTTCCTGCCTCCTACACGCCCTGCCAAGGCGCCACCCCTCGCCTAAACCAAGCACAGGATTTCCAGTAAGTGCCAACACTTCTGACACAGACAGTCTCCTGTTGTGTGCTGAATGTGTGCAAGAGAAATGAGAATAAAAGAATGGCTTCAGTTAATTTCTCCCCTTAAGATTTTATGTACGTGCGTGTATTTGTTGAGTTTAAACCAAAGAAAAAGACATTTTCTCAGACAGGTGTTCATCTTTTGCTCTGATGATCCAAACTGGAGAGTTTCATGTTCATCTGAGCTGTGGAGGGGCTTCACCTGTCCATCACCTCACACTGGTTGTGTCTGAAATCCTTCACTCAGTCATTACTCAGTTTAAAGGGAGGTCTATGTTCTGCTGCCTGCCTGAGGATCAGAGGCCAGTTGCACAAAACACCTTAAGCTAAGACTTTCCTTAAAGTCCTAGTTAAGGTTTCCTCAAAATAAAATCGGTTGCACAAAACACCCTTAAGTCTTCTCCTTAAGGATTAAAATGTTCACTTAAGTATTTCTGGTTTTCTTGTCTTGGTCTTATACTTGAGGAATCCCTCATCCGTTGCACAATAGACCTTAGCAACCAAAGCTAGTTAAAAAAAACTTAAGGTCCCTCTGACTCTATCTTAACTGCAACATGACAGAGTTTATGGTGATAAATAACAACACTAACACACCCTGTGAAGAGTGTTCTGCGACCAGGAGAACCTGATGATACACTTCTGATTTTACACTTTAGATTTGACTGAATTCATTTTCGTTGCGTGTTCCTACAGCTGTTCTTTCTATGACTGTATTCCTCCAGAAGTTTAATCTTCTCCTCCTCTGACCCAAATGGTTTCCTTGTCTTTTCTTCTTCTGACATTTTTGCACTACCTAACTATGAGACAACTCTGTGAGACGCTAACAGGCGTCACCAGCGTGAGTCCAAACATGATAATATCGGCATGTCGTCAGAATCTGCCAACATGCCTTTTATTATTGTGCACAATGAATGAATATTACATACATTTCACAGTGTTTCATGTCTCCATCTGCTGGTGGGCCGTCACAATAAGATATGTTTGTATAATAGGATGTTAATTCTACCACAGAAGAGACTTGCTGCAACAAGTTTTCGGTTTGATTCAAGTTTTTATTGTTAGTTAGTACAAACCAGCATCCAAAGGGTTTGGTGTGTTTTATGTGTGTTTGTAATCCTGAGGGGTTTCACTGAACAAGGTCCTGTACCTGCCTAACTTTACATAAATGCTCATAGTAATGGCTCAGAAACAACACGTGATACAGAGCTGTCAAACAGAAGCGCAGAAAAATCATTTGAATCCAAAACTGAAAACCAAACACTTACCCAACTAACAAAGAGCCCAGTATTCCAATATTTCACTTTCGGCCATGCTTGTTGTTGCCGTGGGTAACACAATATTAATTTTTCATATTATATTAAAAATCATAACGGTAGAATCTTGAACGCTATGATGTGACACACCGTCAGACGGCCGACTTCCTTCCATCCTCTGTGCCTCTAAACCCTTTTGAAACAGAGAAGGTGCCACAGAGCCGCTACGACGTCCCGTCTTTGCACCTTGTTTGCTTTTTTACACAGAACCAAACGACGGCGGCATCATCATGTGGCTCCAGTGTGTAATTTTAGACAACATGATGATATCTCAGAATCAAAAGAGGCGTGACATGTAACACAACAGCGTCAGCCTGTAGTGTGACATATAACATGCATGTCAGCAGTTCTTTACAAACAACAACAACGACATCACATGTCAGTAACAATCATTTAGCATCCCTGTTATATGGCGGCTGATCTCGTCCTCTGCTCGGAGGGTAAGAAGCTCCTGGACCTCACTGTTTGAGTTAGCTGCTAACTGCTAACAGCTACGTTATAAATCTCCCACAGTGGGTCGTACACATAACAGGTCGTCAAAACGTCACACACGTCCTGTCCATGGTCCCGTCCTGCTCCTGTCCCTTTTACACAGACGTTGATTAAGAGCTGATACTTCCTCTGATGCTGCTTAAAGGTGAGACGACACTGTCCCTCCATTCTGTGATCGTACCGTTCAGACAGGGCGAGGCTGCATCATGGTGTGAAACTCCCACCTTGAAGCGGTGGAGTAAAAAGGGGCTGATAACTGAATACTTTCAGGGTTTCGACTGTCGGTCACTTTGGGAGCTCCAATGTTTTCTGATCAATTCATCAGTTAAGGTGAGACTGAGTGTAAAATTACTTGATAATGCAAATAATCATTAGTCACATCATCTCTTCTCAGAGTGCTGACTTCCCTCCATCGTCTGCGCCTCTCAGACTGGTCGCGGCGGTCTTCACCTCCGGCTCGTGACTCACTCGTTCATTATCTTCAGGATGATCTCATCCATCCAAACTCGCCTGTGATCGCCCCCTTTAATCATCTCTGCAGATAAATATATATCTGTGTGTGATGTCACAGGAACAGGAAGCTCACGCCGTCCTCCCCAGGTGACCGTTACCATGACGACCAGGTCCAAGGACACGGGGGCAGAGAACCGCTGGATCATCAAGAAACACACACACACACATACACACACACACACACACACACACAGATACGGTGGCCTTTGAGTTGGCCCCCCAGAACATTTGACTGGATAAAGAGTGACTTAATTATCTCCTCCTCCTTAATCTGCTCCTCTCCTCCTCCTCCTCTGTCTGCAGGTATGCAGATGTGATGTCACTAATCACCTGCATGCACACGCAGGCAAAAAGAGGAGCTGCAGCCGCTGCATGCAGCAGGAAACACTTCCTCTGTGCTGCCGCCTGTCTCTCCTCTCCCTCCTGCAGAGATCTTTTCTTTCCTCCTTTTTTCATTTGCATTTTCTCATTAAGACGCTCCTCTTCTCCTTCACACAGAGGAGGAGGTGTCTCACACACACACACAGATACACACTGGCGAGGTGATGCTCCAAACATCAGGAGCGCGCTCAGTTGAGCGTTATCAAGCACACAAATATGTACCGTCAGCACTGTGCATAATCTGCTACCTTTCCACCAGGCTCACCTCACCTCAGCGAGCAGACCCCACCTCCTCCTCCTCCTCCTCCTCGTGAGAGAGCGGCGGCCTCCTCCTGTGTATACATTACACACCACCTCCTGTACGGACCAATCAGGAGCCAGAGCAGGGAGGCAGACTTGGAAAGCACATAGTTACAACGCAGATCTATACGCCGGGCTCTCGGCAGGAGGCGACAGGAGGCAGTGAGGAGCGAGGGGGGCTTTATCGGAGCGGTCACTTCAATGCAGGGGGCATCCCCGAGTGTGTGCCGGCACGGCGCCAGAGCACAGGGCCCCACACACACACACACACAGGTACAACTGTGTACAAACAAGAGCCCTCACACACATGGGGGCTGTAACACTCGCCTCTACTCTCCATTAAATTTAATCACTCCAAGTCTGTCGATTCATTGTGTGTTGCAGTGACAGAAAGAGCACAGCAGGGTGAAGACGAATGAGAGGAGGAGGAAGGAGGAGGAGGAGGAGGGAGGAGGAGGAGGGAGAGTAATTGTGCATGAGAGGAAGGACATTATTTCTGAATGAAGCAGCTTGAATTTTGAGGATTTGAACTCGAGAGAAAAAGGTAATCCTCCGTAGAGTAAACATTTCCTCCTCCTCCTCCTCCTCAGACGTGGATTCAGCTGGAGCTGAGAGTGATGAAGATGATGGTGATGATGGTGATGATGGAGATGATGGCGTGGGCGTAGGTGACAAGTGAACATGGAGGTGTGAAGAGCCATGTGGAGAGGGAAGAGCTGTGTAGGAATGAAAGGGGGGAAAAATCTGAGGCTGTGTGTCTGATGGAACCTGCAGGTGTCAGAATACGGTGCAATAAAGGTCGGACATTTTGAACTGAGCCCGTCGAGCCTCTCCAGCAGGTGCATGAGGAGGTGGCGGCTTCAGCTCCCATCACACCTCTGGCTCAGAAAATGAGGCAGCCTGTTAGAGTTGTACTAAAAGGTCATTTGACTCGTCCGTCGCCACCCCTACCAAAGCAGGGATGCTGGTAACCATGGCGCCAGGAGGAGGAGGAGGAGGAGGAGGAGGAGGGTGGTCCCACGGTCATGGCAACCACTATTTGAGGATGTCATCACCTTAAAATGTGCTCAGAGTTTAGCATGAAGCCGCCAGGTGATGTATGGCGAGCTCAGTGCTGCAGTCACAGCCTCAGAGGAATACCAATGGAACCACTCGCAGACGGACACTCGCCTCAGGTCTGAGTGTAAAACTGCACACACACACACACAGATCAAGGGGCTCTGCAGAACACACACACACACACACACACACACACACACACACACACCCCTTCATCACACACATATAACCCCCCCCCTCCTCCTCCTCCTCCCCCCTCAGGCGCCATGCAGCACTCAGGATGAACCCAGAAATCCTGACGTCTCATGGTGAGGTGTCAGCTCCCAAACACACCCTGAATGAATCCATGTGCACGAGGGCTCAGCATGCTGGCAGACAGGTGTGTGCGTGCGTGTGCGTGTGCATGTGAGCGTGCACAGGTGAGAGGAGGTGGGTGTGCCTGCCTGATGAGCTGCAGGAACGTTAAATATCTGCACAGCAAACTGCTCTTACCTTTCACCTGGCTCTCGTACTCAGCGAGGATTTCTTTGTCCTTCTTGCTTTTGTTTGAGTTTGACATGTCGTCACGGAGGAGCTGCCCGACCCGCAGGTGAGGAGGAGAAACAAGGTGGAGAAAAAAATCCCGGTTTATTTCCCTCCGCGTGCACCGCCCGAGGCTTCACCCGCAAACACGCGAGTTAGATCCATCCAGTGCCGCAACAACACAGCCAGTAGTGGCCCCGCACCTCCACGCTGAGGAGGAGGAGGGGGGGGGGCACGCGCGTGAGAAGGCACGCACACTCAGTGAGAAATTACCCACTCGTGACCGCAGCCGCGAGGACCCGCAGCAGCCATCAAAAGAACAAGAGTCAGATTTAAAGAGCTGCTGGAGGAGCTTCCGCTCAGCTCGCGCCACAACACGCAGTCACACCCGCGCGCTGCTGCACGCACATGCACCGGTCTGCAGGGAGGGAGCACCGGGCACACGCCCACTAGGTACAAATGCAACGGCCCACACACACACACACACAACACACACACGGAGCACGCGGAGACTGTTTGATGCTGTCTTCACCCCGATGTAACCTTTCACACGTGCAGCTATACACACACACATGCACGCGCGCGCTCACAGAATGACCACCCGGAGCGCGTGAGGATAATACCAATAACGGTAAATGAAATGCCGGTGAGGAAATGGGTGTGTCCGCGCTGGAGGCGGGACCAGAGCGGCGATTGACAGCTGAGGTGACCAGTGACTGCGAGACTGTAGGAGAAACTGTCAAACACACAAGGACACAAAAAATCTGTTTGTGCATACATAATTTAATAAATTAAAATGTTTAAAACCTTCACTGGATCCAGACTTCTTTATTTCTCATGATGAACTCATTTCAACTGATTTTAAACTGATATTAATGATATAAAAATACTTTTAAACACCTGAGCTGTGAATGTTTCCTTGTGAAGTGAAGTGACCATATTTGGACGAGAGGGTGGATCTGACTCTGCAGCCCCGTCTCCACCAAACCCTTTCAGTCCAGCACCTTTGGAACCAGCAGTAAGCCTTCAGACATGGTACCTAGACCCTCGGTCTGTTCAGTCAGTCCTCTTAAATGTGGGCGGGGTTGTTGTCACTCACTGCTCCGTCCAGCACTCGCTGTATTTCCTCATCAGCGGTGACACAGATGGAAGTGTCACAAGGCTGCGGAGACAGAAACTATGAACTGAACTGTTTGGTTGAAGCAGGGTTATAGACTGTGGTCAGTGCGGCCTGTGTCATAGGCAGTGACCGCCAATGCTAAGGCCGCCGTCATCTACCTGGGGCGCCACAAATAGGGGAAGAAAAAAAAATGTTAATTGTACTATTTTTACTGATAATATTACTACTGTTGCCGGTGAAGATTCTCAGTCATCCAGGTCATGGTTATCGTGCTGTTTCGTAGGTAACTGGACTTGCTTGCGTTTCTTGAAGATGTTTCGCCTCTCATCCAAGAAGCTTCTTCAGTTCTAAATGAATGGTACAGAGCTGCATGCTTTAAATCCTGTATGGGTGTGAACCCCTGCAGAATCTATTACTGCTATTATTTTGAAATATGACATAAAGCCACAACAATATAACTACACAGCAAAGCCTACTAAATAACTGTAGCCCTTTTTAAACAGGAGTTGTGCAAATTTACAGAAAAGCCCAATCAGTGTTTTTTCAGCATTGGCAGTATAGAAACAAAATCGGGGAGTGCAGCAAAATGCCGCCTACCTACTTTTGTTTATACAGAATGTGCCTTTTTCGGGGCAATGGGGGGCGTGAGCAAGTAACAAAACATGTAGCTCAGCGTGTGACGTAAACAGTGACGTGGGAGGGAAGCCGCGGCTGGTCAGTCCTTCGGTGATTCTCTCGTAAGTCGGCCCGTCCTTCACCGTCCCCGTCATCTGACGGTTAATGGCCTCTTCGTTTGCGAGGACAAGGAGGGCGCACAATTCCTTGTCTCCCCAGTTGCTCATCTTTACAGTGTCTGTCAGGTTTGTGTTTCCCTCTTGCTACTAGCTGCTCGCTAATTCCTGCTATCAGCTGTTTCCTGTTTATCCACCGCCAGTGGCTCGCACGTGTGACGTCATCAACAGCTCCTCCCACAAGTCATCAACAGCTCCTCCCACAAGTCATCAACAGCTCCTCCCGTTGCAGAAGGCCGCCTCGGTCTGTTTAAACTAAAAGGGTTCCATCAATATGTCTACCCTACGAGGAGGAAAATTGGGCACCTCGGATCAACTCGCCAATCCGGCTCTGTGTGTCTAAACGCTCGCAGCTTGCCGGCAAAACAGCCCAACATTAGCCGAAAATCTGGCAGTTTTGAAGGCAAACGGAGGTCCTACCCGGTACAAGCAAGGTATACCTAAAAAAGTGGCAGCTGAGTGTATATCACATAGTTTGATAGTTGACAGATATTTTAGGGGACTTTTAGTCTCTGTTTGTTGGGACAGCTGTGGTGGGACGTGGGCTGGATTCTTGCCCCCTGCTGCTGAGGCAGGGACACAGCCTTTATACATGAGGCACCTGCTCTATCAGGTGAGGTAGTAGGCACCTCCACGGGAGACATTTTTAAGTACTTTGAAGTTCACTTTGCTCTGCACTTTCACCTCAGAAACTGAACTGTTAATAGAATATTTTTATATTGTTGTGTCAGTACTTTCTACTGAAGTAAAGAATTAAAGTATTTTGTCTCCTGCTGTGTGTTCAGGACAAGGAGCTGCAGAGAGTTTATCTCAGCACTGAATCACCTCTGTAGGATCAGAAGGTGGAGTTTAGCCTCTTTACTAACTGTAAATGTGACATTACCTCATGCTCCTCCACCATTAAATGAGTCCTCCCACAGACATCAGAACCAAACTCCTCCTGCTGCTCCGTCTCTGCTCAGGTCATCTCAGCTGTGTGAAGACAGCACAGTGACATCAGTGATCAGCAGCAAGTGTTCAGTCTGTCACAGTGTGAATCACAAACTTTAAACTGAATCATCAGCAGGTCAGAATCCTGTTTGGGAAAAAAAGCTGAGTTTCCATTTACAGATATCTGTCTCCACCTAGTGGTCAAATGTGAGAACTGACAGCTGATGGGTTTCTACATATAAACTCTGACCTGTGTTACATCCATATCCTCACTGTTTGAGTCCCACAGATATTTGTGTTAAAATAATAATTAAAACTGCAAAACCAATCATGTTTCCCTTCAAATATTTGTTTTTCTCTTCTGAATAATATCAGTTACCTTCAGCTGTGCATCAAACTGAGATGACACATGTAAGAAAGGTGTCAGGTGTTAACCATCAGCAACAAAGAAAGATTTTTTTTTTTTTAAAAAACATAAGTGTAATTTATGATTTTATTTTGTGTCTCCTGCTGCATCATCTTCAGATTAAAACACTACGAGTCGATAATCTGAACATGAAGGCTGAACTCAGGTGCAGACACACCTTTATCACAGCAGATATTCTGACCTGTTGTTCTGCAGCTCCTGGAGCTGAAAACCAGCCTTCATAAAACCCATCAACTGATAAAATAACTTAAACTTGTGTATCATGTTTTTCCTGTTTTACTGTGACACATGTGGAGTACACACGTATGTTCAAAGGGAAAGAAGTTTTACTTTATTATTATAAGACTAAGGATGTCCCGATCTGAGGAATCGGTGCCGATCACGTTATTTTTACGAAATCGGAATCAGTAATAAAAACAAAAATGGCCAGGTTTTTCATCTATGTTGCTCATTGTTGCCTCCGCTTTCCAATGTATAATACACTGACATTTTCACTGCCGTTAGCATTGCTGGCTGTCCATGCCAAAGCAAGTTATCAGTCTGAACGTCAGTCCCCCGCCTGCCCAACGTTAACACGCTCATTTTGACACTCCTTTACGACACGGCCTGCCGTAAATGAGTGTCGAAATGAGCGTGTTAACGTTGGGCAGGCGGGTGAGTTCAGATGGGCAGCTAGTAACGGTAGCAAAATGTCAGCAATATGGAACTTTTATACATTGGAAGGCGAATGCAGCACAACAGCCACTTGTAAAATGCGCAAGTCTAGCGTTTCGTGAGGGGGAAAAGACAGAGCTCATTTCAACACAACCAATTTGATACGCTATCTGGAAAGGAAACGTCCGTCACAGCATGCCGAGTTCGAGGCAGCGAGTAAAAAGCCACAGAACCAACTGACATTGGCGGAGGCTTTGAAAAGGAAAGAGAAATTTCCCCAGGACCACGATGAAGCCAAAAAGATCACAGCCAAGATGAACAAACCTTATGGGACAACTTGGATGCATTCTTTTTGTTTTTTTTTTTTTTCTTAATGCTTTGCTAGGTATCGGATCGGACTCGGTATCTGACTCGGTTTCAAAATAAAGGACTCGGTATCAGAGGAGATGCAAAAAAAAATGTGATCGGGACATCTCTAGAAAAGACAGAGGTGTTTTTCGGAGTTAATAAAGTTCTGATTGTTTCAGTGACTGTGATGAGGTCATTTACATTGTGAAAACTTCTCTCTGAATCTGTTTCATTTGTCTAATACGTCTAATAATTCTTATTGTCTACATGGAGAGGTGTGTTTGTCAGTTAAACTGTTAAACCATGAGCGACTTTGTTACAATATTTAACACAGTGATGAACAAATGTTTATTTTCAGGCCACACACACCCCTTCAGTTCGGACATGTGATAACTGGAGTGAAATCTTTTCCACAGTGGCGATGTACCAGACCAGAGTTTCCTGAGGTCTCCCTCCTCGACATCACACACTGAGTTTCTCTCAGCAGCCCAAACTTTGAGTGACTTCCACCTACACAGCAGCTTATCTTCAAACTAAAGTAATTGGAACTAAAAGTTCCCAAAGTTTGGAGCGTTTCCTCAGAGGAAACAAACACAAAGAACTGCTGAGCTGAGAGACGGAGTCGCTGATGACGTCATGTTTCATGAAGGGACCGACTCATTGTCTGCAGGTGATGGAAGAACTATCAGATCTTTTACTACAGTGGAGAAATACTCTGTTACAAGTCCTGCATTCAAATTTTACATTTAAAGTAAAAGTAAAAACGTATTAACAGCAATATTATAGGCTACATAAAGTACTAACTAAGCTTTTATAGTGTTAGAGAACTGTGTGAGGACGATGGTGTGATGGGAGGCATATGATTTCATTATGTTTAACTTAAAATCTATTTCTTTTGTTTCATTATTTTCTATATGCAGGTACATACATGTGTTGATTTACTTTATCTGTTATTGTCACTGTTTTGATTTTGCTTAGACTTCATTTTTTTTCTTCAGAAATGTTTTCACAAAGTCCCGTGAGATGTTGGATCCTAGACACATGAAATTTTCACAACCAGATGGAAGTTGTGTCCAAATGTTGCTCAAGAAATGTGACGCAATGTGACCGGGTGGTGGCGCTAAAATTAAGGGTTGTCACTGGACCAGA